TTGGTAAGAGGATGTCCCACAATGAGATGGATTGGCCAAGTGACAACATCGATGGATTCAAGCGTGGCAACAATGGTGAGGTTGGCCCAGGATTGGACAGTGTTTCCTTTTGTTGTACATAGGGTCGCTATGAGTCTTTACCAACTTGATGGCACCTAACAACAACAACAACGTGGTTACCCATAAGGATCTCTGATAGCGTAGTGATTGCGAATCAGGCTGCTAATCTCAAGGTCAGCAGTTCGAAACTACCAGCATTTCCATAGGAGAAAGAGGAGGCTTTCTGCTCCTGTAAAGATTGATAGCCTTGGAAACCCTATACAGGGTCTCTATGAGTTGGAACCGACTCCACAGCACACCACCACCACCATCATGGTTACCCATGGTGGACAGATTTCAATGGAGTTTCTAGACTAAGGCAGACTAAGAAGAAGGAGAGGCAGGCCACTTCTGAATGTTTAGCTAAGGAAAACCTTATAAATAGCCGAGGAACATTGTTAAATATAGCGCTGGAGGATAAGCATCTCAGGCTGGAGGGCACACAAAATACGACTGGGGAAGAGCTGCCTCCTTGAAGCAGAGTTGATCATAATGACATGAATAGAGCAAAGCTTTCAGGACCTTAATTTGCTGATGGGGCACACCTCAAAATGAGAAGAAACAGCTGTAAATATCCATGAAAAATGAACGTGGAACATATGAAGTGTGAATCTAGGAAAAATTAAATTTGTTAAAAATGAAATGGAAGGCATCAGTCCTTAGCTACTCTATTTCTCCATGTCCTCATCTCTGCCTCCATCTCTGGTGTCACTGCTTTTCTGTGTAGGGTCCCACATTCTGCTTGTCCTCTTCTCTCTTGATGGTCCTAGGGTCCTCTGTTCTTGGATTGTAATATTAACTACTCCCCCCTTTATGTTACAAAAATTCTACCTTAACAGTTGTGACAGTCATAATTAGTCATGCTAACAATTACTCACTATTGAATCATAAGGATCTTATCCCCATCTCCTTTTATCAGACCCATCTAGACAAGATGAAAACTATTCAGTGGGGACTCTACCTTGCCCCACATGCTATCAGCCTTTCTTCCATTATGATGCTGGATGGATTTGAACTGCCAACCTTTTGGTGAGTAGCTGACAGCAAACCTTTTGTGTTTCTCAGACCTTTTATTATGCTTGTTGTTGTGTTGTTGTTAGGTGGAGTCAAGTCAATTCCAACTCATAGCAGCGTCATGTGCATCAGAACACAACACAGCCCAGTTCTGCACCATCCTTACAATTGTTATGTTTGAGCCATTATTGCATTCAATATTTCAATCCATTTCACTGAGGATCTTTCACTTTCTTAGAGGACCCTCTACTTTACCAAGCATGATGTCCTTTTCCAGGGACTGGTCTCTCCTGATAACATGTCCCGAGTAAGACTAGGTCTTACCACCATTGCTTCTTAGAAGCATCCTGGCTGTACTTCTTCAGTGGCAGATTTGTTCATTCTTTTGACAGTCCATGGTATATTCAAAATTCTTCACCAACACCATAATTTAAATACATCACTTCTTCTATGGTCTTCTTTATTCATTGTTCCTGCTTTCACATGCATATGAGGTGAGTGAAAAGACCATGGCTTGGGGCAGGCATAGCTTAGTCCTCCAACTGATGATACCTTTGCTGTTTCATAGGCTTTATCGTGCTTAAGTCCCAACTGTTTCTTTAATTTTTTTTTTTTTTTTTGGGCCTTGTAGTCCTTTTACATTTTTTCTCCTGTTGATAAAGGTCTTGGAAATCACAGTAACATAGCAGAGTCTCTGATCAAAGGTTTGAAAAAGGCAACATGTTTCATGGATGCTTGATGAAAGAGTTCAGAGTT